ATATGTATATATATATATAAATACGAATTCGAACTCAAAAGGGTCTTGTGTGTTGTTTTGGTCTTTGGGCTAATATTCGATTGATACAAGGCTTGTATGGTATAGTTCATGGATCCCAATTCTGGGCTGGCCTCGCAATGATTTATTATGGCCCAATTCCTGTGTGGAAATGCAATCAGAAGCAGTAGATTCGACCTTAGGGCATGGGGCCTCTCTTCCAGGCCCAGTTGTGTTCCAGGCATGCCCTTGTACTGCCCTTCTTTTGTTATTTGGGCTCAGCTTAGATTTTGGGCTCGAAATAAATCCTTAGTTAATTAGCAAGACCTTTAGAACAATTTTTGGAAGGCCATCTTAGATAACACAATAGTCCATGGCTCTTCAAGCTTTAGTCGAATATCCTTTAAAAATGAAATCGAGGGGCGCCGCGCCAAATAAAACCACAAATGCACGGCCCTCTTTAATTATTTCCTTCAAAATACATAGAATCCGGGACGTGCCATTTAGCAAATTTCCATGGCCCTCGCAAAGTTAACAACGCTAGCCACTTTAGGCACGCTTTTTAATAATTTTACTTTCCTAAACTCGGGTGCGCATTTCATGCAACCCAAATCCAAATCCCAAAACGTTGAATAAGAGGTGTTGAGGATCCGGGTGCATTTCATGTGACGTGATCCAAAAACACGCTCTTAAACGGCGTTCACTTTCGTAAAAAACAAAATAAACTAAAAGCGGTAAATAATCTTAAAATTGCACTATAGGTTTAAATATGTATAAAAACCAGATTTTAGCCATTTATGATAATTTAAGCGACCGTGCTAGAACCACGGGATCCGGGGGTGCCTAACACCTTCCCTCGGGTCAACAGAATTCCTTACACAGAATTTCTGGTTCGCAGACTCCAATTGGGAAGTCGAAATTTTTCCTCGATTTGGGATTTAAATTAAACCGGTGACTCGGGACACCAAAAGCCCATCCTTTCCCGAGTGGCGACTCTAAAAATAAATAAATAATCCCATTTCGAATAATGTCACTTTAAATGGAAAAACTCCTTTATACATTATCCTTCGGGGTAGGTGTGTAAAAAAGGGGGTGTGACAGAATAACGGCATACATTATATGTATAATAATTTTTAGATCGTGGTGAAGATAAATAAAAATATTAGGTAATTTCTTCACATTTACTTAATAATTTGTTGTTAATAATCAGAGGTGTTTATGTTAGTACTTATGCCATCAACTATTAGTGTAAAAATTAAGAAATACGAGAGTTGACGATTTGACTTATTTTAAAAAATTGATTTAGCTATTTTGCTCGTTAAAAAAAAAAAGCAACTATTCTATCAATTTGAACAACGTCTTCTGAGTGAAGATGCTGGATTCTAAACAACGTCGCTTCTGTCCCCACGTCCAAGTCGTACCCTTGCTTTAGTTGACGTATACTCACTGGGCGTACCCATTGGCGTAGAGACGTCAATTTGACCCTATACAGAATTATTAGCTAAAAGAAGTATTATCATTATTATTATTATTATACTAAAATTTTGGTATAAATTGAAAATTCGTTATACTGGTTTTGAACCAAACAATGGGTAGAAAACATGACAAACAAAAACTAATACACACGCTCCTTAGAAACAAGTTTCCTTGCAAAATTAGGGCATCAAACTATAACTGAAATTAGGGCACATCGAGATAGAGCAGAGCCAAATTGAAGATGACGAGAATTCCTCTGTTGCGTTGCTCTTGCAATGGTATTATTCCCAGCTTTATCTCATTCTTTGTTAATTCTCATTCTGCTTCGGCAATTGCAATCAGAGATTATTCTTCATCTCATAGCAATACTGATAATGTCAAGTGTTTAGATGATGCTCTGACTCTCTTTGGTCGAATGGTCAGAACTCAGCCTCTTCCTTCTGTTTTTAGCTTCTCCAAATTATTAAAGACTATCGTAAATATGAAGCATTACTCTTCTGTTGTTTCCCTTTTTCGACAAATGCTGAAATCGGGTATCCCAATTGATGGTTTCATCTTGAGTATCGCGATCAACAATTATTGCCTAATGTATCGTTCTGACTGCGGATTTTCGGTGTTAGCCATTTACTTGAAGAAGGGCATTCCATTTAATGTTGTCACGTTTAGCACCTTACTAAGGGGACTCTTTGCGGAAAGTAAGATCAAAGATGCAGTTAACTTGTTCAAAAAGTTGGTGCGAGAGAATATTTGTGAGCCTAATGAAGTCATGTATTCAGTTGTCATGAATGGGCTTAGCAAAATGGGCCATACTCAAAAAACTTTTGATTTGCTTAGGGTAATGGAACAAGGAAGCATTAAGCCCAATGCATACATCTATAGCATTGCTATAAATGCCCTATGCAAAGATAGAATGTTACATGCTGCTATTAGCCTTTTTGAAGAGATGAAACAAAAAGGCATTCCTCCAGACATTGTCACATATAGTTCATTGATTGATGGTTGTTGTAAGCTTGGTCAGTGGGAAGAGGTTAGGACTTTGTTCTTCGAAATGGTAAATCTTAATATTTATCCAGATGTCTGCACCTTGACCATAGTAGCAGATGGACTTTGCAAAGAAGGGAAAGTTGAAGATGCTGAGGAAGTAATGAAACACATGATTGAAAAAGGTGTGGAACCCAATGTGGTCACCTACAATGTGATAGTTGATGGATATTGCTTGCGCGGTCAAATGGATAGAGCAAGGAGACTTTTTGATTCCATGATAAATAAGGGCATTGGGCCTAACATTTTTAGCTATGACATATTAATAAATGGATACTGTAAGAAAAAGAAATTGGATGAGGCCATGCATTTGTTTCATGAAATTTCTAGAAATGGATTGAAACCTAGCATTGTTACTTACAGTACTATCTTGAAAGGTCTATTTGATGCTGGAAGAACCGACATTGTGCAAAAATTCTTTGCTGATATGCTTTCTATGGGGCTCAGACCTAATTTATGCACTAATTGCATTTTGCTCCGTGGTTATTTTCAGAATGGACTTGTTGAAAAAGCTATGTCTCTATTTCATGAGTTGGAAAGAAAGAGAGAAGATATTGATATTGAACTTTACACTATTATTATTGACGGGTTGTGCAAAAATGGTCAGCTCGACAAAGCTCGTGCTTTTTTTGAGAAGCTTTCTTTGATTGGATTATTTCCCAATGTGATTACATACACTACAATAATAAATGGACTATGTCTAGAAGGGTTGTTAGATGAAGCTAAAGATATGCTAAGAGAAATGGAGCACAATGGTTGTTCGCCAAACAACTGCACTTACAATGTTATTGTGCAAGGATTTCTCAAGTGTGGCAAATTTAGTGAAATGAACACTTTTTTGAAGAAAATGAGTGGAAGGGACTTCTCGTTTGATGCAGGTACTATAGAGTTACTAATAGACGTTTCAGTTAAGGATCCTTCTTTGCTTAACATGATACCACAATTTCACTTGGAAAGTTAGAAGTGAATATTTGTTTCACTTGTTATCAATATGATGTAATTTCCTTTTACCTTGGCCAAAGAAATAGCATCCAATGGAATGGCAGAAGCTGAAAACATGCAATTAGAACATTGCTTAAGCTTTCCAAGCTAGCTTATTAAAGAGGTACACCTTTTCTGATTTTTAATTCTTTTGCCACTCTGCTTTTTGTTCTGGATCATATTTTATTGCACTCTTAATATGAGAAGTAACGTGAGTTTCCTTATGTGTGCACATTATAAGTCTACTAGGATTATCATTTTCAGTGGTATTTAGTTATCTTCAGGTATTATCATTTTCTGACATTTTGAATATCAATAACAATATCCTGTAACTTAGAATTTGATGTAGAAACATTATTCTTGATAGTTTCTAAGGTCTTGATTACATCAATCATAATTGTGACAATAGAGCTGACGTGACACCATTGAGAGCTCCAGGTCAGCTGAGAAGCTAATTTCCGTGTTACGCGAGAGAGTGAATTATGGTGCTGGCATTCGTCCTGGATTTACGACATCCGGGATTCCATCCACCGATGAAATTGCTGACAGAATCAAGAAGATGCTTGCAGGATACCAATATACTCTGGTTTAACCCTGATTGTGGCCTGAAGAATCGCAAGTATGCTGAAGTTAAGCCGTGCTCTCAGCAGTGGCTGGTGAATTGTTCAATGGTCCTCCTGGAGCATACTGGACTGCAGAGGAAGCAGAAGATTATGTTTCACATCTTGCATTAATGACACCGGCAACAGTTTCCTTGCAAAAGGTAAAACACTCATCGTCTAGAAATTGATATAGATAGATTATGCTGTATACCATTGTAATATAGAAAATTAACTACAGGCACCTGATATTTGGTGGAGACTCTCACTGCTTTATTATTGGTGTGACCTTATTTTAATACTTTCTGTGGTGTCTTCTAATATTTTTTCTGGAAAGCTTTTACTACGTTTGTGATCTCTAATTGCAGAACGGTTTTTGATTTTTGTGTCTTCCAAACTAGTTGAAGTACATTGAGATATATGAATCCATGCTACTGTTTATCCCTGGTGTAGTGTAAGAAGTACCTTCTGCAACTTTATTTATTTTTTATTTTATTTTGATAGGTATTCTGCAACTTTATCTTATATACCGTGTAATTCTGCTTCTCTTTTGAATGTCTACATTAGGTTGCTTTATTAGAGAAGATTCTCACTATCAGTACAAGAGGAAGCTGCAGATGTACGAAAAGAAATAGCCTTGGTGTACTACAGTGAAAGGAAGAGCTCGTCATGAGGTATGTCACATAGTTTTCACCTGGCACGGATTCATTGTCCATTTTTGCTTGTTAAGAAATATTCAGAGGTATGTCACACAGTTTCACCATGTACTCATTCCGACTACTGTGATTGGCTTATTATTACTGCTTCTGATGCAACAAAGTATTCATGCCTTCGACCGATGAAGAGGAGATGGCTCACTCTCAACATACATCTCCACAGTCCACAGGCTGACAGCAAGATGCTTGCAGTCCTTGAAATCAACATCCTCTGGGTCAACCCCGACTGTGGCCTCAAGAAACGCAAGTATGCTGAAGTGAAGCCTGCACTCAGTGACATGGTAGCTGCTGCTATGCTCCTCTGCTCAGAGTTGGCAGCACTAAGTGAGCTTGTATTACCACAGTCAATCGATCGAAAAGTCCTATTTTAAACTGCTATTGCAGAATAGTAGTTTTACTCTTATATGCAAGAGTTTGGGAGAATACTCTTCTCCAAGAACTTAACACAAACATAATCTCGGTAGTGTCTTCTAATTTGGTTTCTGGAAAGCTTTTACTACGATTTGTGATCTCTAGTTGCACCATGGTTTTTGTTTTTTTGTGTCTTCTAAATAAACAAGTTGAAGTACATTGAGAAATATGAGATTTCCAGTTGCTACTTTAACCAAGAGGTGTCTTCCAATATTTTTTAATACTCTCTGAGGTGTCTTCTAATATTATTTTCTGGAGAGCTTTTACTACGTTTGTGATCTCTAGCTGCAGCACAGTTTTTGTTTTTGTGTCTTCCAAACTAGTTGAAGTACATTGAGATATATGAATCCATGCTACTGTTTATCCCTGGTGTAGTGTAAGAAATACCTTCTGCGAGTGGCAGCGAGATTTTGGCTACTGTAGACGCATACGAGTGGGGGAGGTTGTAGGGGCTATGCGCAGGATTAGAGCGACTGGACCAGACTAGATCCCGGTGGAATTCTGGAAGAGCGTGGGTAAGGAGGGCTTGGAATGGCTTGCTAGGTTGTTTAACGTCATTTTAGGACGAAGAAGATGCCCGAAGATTGGAGGCGGAGTACAATGATCCCGTTGTACAAGAACAACATGGGTAAGGAGCATGGGTAAACGTGTCCTTACTGGAAAGGGAAGGGATCTTTAGCCAGGCTAGGAGAACAATGTCAATCAGGTCATTTTCATGTAGATCAAGAACTACACCCCTAACTGGAACTAAGATTTTTCACCCTAAGTTGCCATTTAAAGTATCTTTCTTTATGTTAAGACTTTTGGAGGGCAGAATTAGTACTGATGATGTGATTGTTTGCCCTGCAAAATGTACTTGTTGTTACCAGGCTGAATGTGAATCCATTGATTTGCTTCTACTCAGATAGCTGAAACAAAATCTTTCTTCACTGAAGTTGTCTCTTTGCCTAGACAGGTGAGAGCTGCACTGAAGAATGATCAGTTGGGAATATGCAACTTCAGGATCAAGTCAAGAAAGGGTTACTTTTCAATCAAATATTTTAATTAGCTGAGTATAGATACACAAAGTTAGGTATCTAACAGCTTTTTTTGGGTAGACTTGGGTGATCCTTTCCCCCCCAAAAATGTAATAATATGTAATAGGTATTTGACTTTTCCCGTCATATTGGTATGTAGATGTCTACCAATCAATCAACTGTATCTCAATTTCAAACTTGTTGTTGTTGCCGTCAATATGGGCTTGGCCCGTAATTTTTGGAGCTCATTTAAAAACGAGATTTTTAAGCCCGGCCGAGTAAACACGTGGCCAGTGAGGCTTGATTGAGGCTGGGCTGAGCAGGCTCATGGGCCTAATAAAAATACATATTTAAAATATATAAAATATAAAAGGTATATGACACAAAAAATAACAAGAAGAGTATCTCAAGCTTAAAGTTTATTGAGCTCATCATATTAAAAGATAAAAATCTTAAAACGTCAATTAGCTTTAAAATTTAATTATTTTTAATATTTAATTAATTAATATTGCATACGAATCGTACATGTAGATGAAAGTGGAAATGTTAAGACAATCTTCTCACAAGCGGATTCAGTTGTGTTTGATGAAGATGATGTGTTACATCCCATGTTTCCGTACGTGAAAGTACACCATATGTAAATTGATGTAAGCTAAAAAAGGGATGAAATCCTTCTACAAGGCTAAAGAAGGTTTATCAAAGTATTAGGTAAGTTAGGATGAATGAGACTTTTTATTCATGATTTAAATGAGTTTAAATTCGTGAGATGGCTATATATGATGTTTGGATATGAAATATAAAGTTTGGGAAAAATCTACTAAGGATTTGCCTTGTAATGACGTGTTTTGAGCAATACATTTCATGTGCTATATGAGGTCTTTTTGGGATATATTATATACCAAAATGAAGGTCTTGGAACCTAGTTTCCAACGGTCCAAACCATTTATTCATACGACATCGGGCAGAGAAATATGAATTTTTAAAGTAGGGTTCCAAGTCACGTTGCCGCACTTCGGAGAAACTGGCAGGTTTATAGGCCAAGTTGCGACTCAGTTTTTCTCCCAATCTATTGAGAGTTACATGGAGATCTTTATATGTAATTAAAGCCGTATGTATCTAATTTCCAACTCTGTAAACCGTTTGTCAATACGATATTGGAGTAGAGAGATACAAGTGTCCAGAGTGGCACTGCTCAAGCTGCCAAGCAGGCTGCTTACCCACCTGCTTGGAGAATTGAGGCGGTGGTCTTATCCCCTTATATCTCGTCAACAATACAGATGTTACTCACAAAACCACTCTCAACTCAGTAAACCGTTTGTCAATACGAGATTGGAGTTGAGAGATACAAGTGTCCGAAGTGGCACTGCTCAAGCTTCCAAGCAGGCTGCTTACCCACCTGCTTGGAGAATTGAGGCGGTGGTGTTATCCCCTTATATCTCGTCAACAATACAGATGTTACTCACAAAACCACCTCAAGATCTCCAAAATCATCCCTAACATATCTCAAGATCACAAGAACCAAACTCAAGGAAACAACTCAAATCATCATCAAAGATGTTAAAGGCTACAAGAGCTTCTATGACGTTGTAGTGTGATTGAGGGCTATTGTGAGCTAAGTTGAGATAGGGTTCCGAGTTGTAGATGTTGTACAAGGTATGTATAACATCTTCTTGATTGTGCCTAAGGTTAATCTTGTGTTGGTTGTGTTGGTTGAGTGAAAAACCATAAGATAGCACTAGAAAGAACATGGATATGGATGCCTTTTTGGTTGGACTATTTTGTGGCTAAATATATGGTTTGTGGTGGCTGAAAATTGTGAGAAATAATTTGATAATGTTGTGGCTGATGTTGTTAAGCTTTTCTAGGTATTAATTAAGTTGATTGAAGAAAAGTAAATATTACATAGAATGAAAAGTAATAATACTAAATTTCTTGAATGTAATTTTTAATATTAGTCATGGGTAAAAAATTTAAAATACAATATTTAAAAGAAACATGTCCAAACACAACAATTCAAAATCTAAATCATAATTCAAGTTCAAATGCTATTAACTCTTGCATGCAATATTAAAACTGAGAAACATTGAAACTTTTGATGAAAGCTTCGCAATTAAAATAAACTTAGTAAAGACGAGAAATAAGGGTTTATATTTTAAAGATGAAGAATGGGGTGTTATATATGCTAGTACAAATGGGCCATTAAATAAACAAAGTTGGAAGTGATAATTGGGTTTTCCCCGATTTTTGTTCTCTTAAATTCCCCGATTTGGGTCTAAAATGCTTTTACTAATATTTTTGTCTTCCAAGAAAACATACATCTCCACAGTCCATTGGTGCTGAAGCTATCGGCTACAACGACACAATCCTGTTCCTCTACTGTCTCGAATGCAAATTCTAGCACGAGGAAGACTGCAGAAACCAAAAGTTGCCTATTTTGTAACATGTTTAGAGTGTACAAATCCATTATAGATGAGGTCTTCCCCACGAGTACTATTGTGCTTCTTATCTGTTGTGAGGTACCGATAAAGATGTTGGGTTCAAGCCCTAACGCATTTCTATGATGGCGTGGGCATAATACCCAAGATATTTGAGTTGTAAGACGTGGGGTTCCAAGTCCTGACGCACCAATGGGCCAATAAATAAACAAGGTTGGAAGTGATAAAACACTTAGATATATATTGATTTTTTCCCCCGATTTTTATTCTCTTAAATTCTACACCAAACCAAAATATCAAAAATTTTAATTTCTCAATCCAAAATCGATCCAAATTGAAATTTCAGTTTGAGTTTTCGATTTATGCACACCGCTAATAGAAGGGCAAAGCTTGCCCCACCATGCCCATCTCTATTTACATCCCTATTATTAAGTATATTTTAATTGTAAAACTTATGCAGAAAATATTCACAACATCTCAATAAATATATTTTTTATGTTTTCACATGTGCTCTTATTATAGTTAATTAACGCACATTTTAATCTTATTGATGATTTAACCATGGTAAAATAATATAATTTAATGTAAATATTGGGTGTAAATAAACTTTTACCTAGTTCAGTTTCGTAAGTAATTTCAATAAAAATGTTCCTCAAATTAATTTTTCAATTAAATTCTCTATTTTAAATTAAAGTTGAAACAATTGGTTAAGAATATAAAACATATAAACTAATTTCAAGATTGCTTATACTAAAAATAAAAATCCAACCGAACAAATTTTCTGAAAAATTAGCGGTATAAACTCCAAAATGGAAAATCGAATACAAATACCCCTTCTTCCACTTAGAACACGTGAGGACTAAAAGTGAAAAAAGACACTACAATGACTAGCCAAATGTGGAAATAATAAAAATGAAGAGGGTCTAACTGTCAATAAGGGTACTTAATAATTAACTCGGCAGCCCATTGTCGCATTTCAGCTCCTCCTTCAATTAGGGCACAGAGATCGCACACAGAATTTCTTGTCGCGATTGCAATCAGATGACGAGAATTTCTCTGCTTCGTTACTCTTTCAATGGTATTATTCCCTTTATCTCTTTTTCTGCTATTTCGCCTTCTGCTTCGGCAATTGCAACCAGATACTATTGTTCATTTCATAGCCATATTGAGAATGTCAAATGTTTAGATGATGCTATGAGTCTCTTCCGTCGAATGGTCAGTACGCAGCCTCTTCCTTCTGTTTATTTTAACGAAGTCCTAGAGGTATTTGGAGGTAGGCACTCATCAGTATCACGTAAACTTTAGGGCATACAGAGATAGCAAACAATCAGATGACGAGAATTTCTCTGCTTCCTTACTCTTCCAATGGTATTTTTCCCTTTATCTCTTTTTTTCTATTTTCACCTCTGCTTCGGCATTTGCAATCAGATATTATTCTTCATTTCACAGCAATATTGAGAATGTCAAGTGTTTCGATGATGCTTTGAGTCTCTTTCGTCGAATGGTCAGTACGCAGCCTCTTCCTTCTGTTTTTACCTTCTCCAAATTATTAAAGACTATGGTAAATATGAAGCATTACTCTTCTGTTGTTTCCCTTTTTTGACAAATGCTGAAATCGGGTATCCCAATTGATGGTTCCATCTTGAATATCGCGATCAACAATTATTGCTTAATGCATCGTTCTGACTGCGGATTTTCAGTGTTAGCCATTTACGTGAAGAAGGGCATTCCATTTGATGTTGTCACCTTTAGCACCTTACTAAGGGGACTCTTTGCAAAAAGTAAGATAAAAGATGCGGTTAACTTGTTCAAAAAGTTGGTGAGAGAGAATATTTGTGAGCCTGATGAAGTCATGTATTCAGTTGTCATGAATGGTCTTAGCAAAAGAGGTCATACTCAAAACACTTTTGATTTGCTTAGGGTAATGGAACAAGGAAACGCTAAGCCCGATGCATACATCTATAACATTGTTATAGATGCCCTTTGCAAAGATAGGATGTTAGATGCTGCAATTAGCCTTTTTGAAGAGATGAAACAAAAAGGCATTCCTCTAAACGTTGTCACATATAATTCATTGATTGATGGTTGTTGTAAGCTTGGTCAGTGGGAAGAGGTTAGGACTTTGTTCTTCGAAATGGTAAATCTTAATATTTATCCAGATGTCTGCACCTTGACCATAGTAGCAGATGGACTTTGCAAAGAAGGGAAAGTTGAAGATGCCGAAGAGGTAATGCGACACTTGATTGGTAAAGGTGTAGAGCCAGATGTGGTAACCTACAATGTGATAATTGATGGATATTGCTTGCGCGGTCAAATGGATAAAGCAAGGAGACTTTTCGATTCCATGATAGATAAGAGCATTAAGCCTGACATTGTTAGCTATAACACGTTAATAAATGGATACGGTAAGAAAAAGAAATTGGATGAGGCCATGCATTTGTTTCATGAAATTTCTCGAAATGGATTGAAACCTAGCATTGTTACATACAGTACTATCTTGAAAGGTCTATTTGATGCTGGAAGAACCAACTTTGCCGAAAAATTCTTTGCTGAAATGCTATCTACGGGGCTCAAACCTAATTTATGCACTAATTGCATTTTGCTCGACGGTTATTTTCACAACGGGCTTGTTGAGAAAGCAATGTTGCTATTTTATGAGTTGGAAAGAAAGAGAGAAGATATCTATATTGAACTTTACACTGTTATTGACGGATTGTGCAAAAATAGTCAGCTCGACAAAGCTCGTACTATTTTTGAGAAGCTTTCTTTGATTGGATTGTTTCCCAATGTGATTACATACACTACAATAATAAATGGACTATGTCTAGAAGGGTTGATAGATGAAGCTAAAGATATGCTAAGAAAAATGGAGCACAATGGTTGTTCGCCAAACAACTGCACTTACAATGTTATTGTGCAAGGATTTCTCAAATGTGGCAAAATTAGTGAAATGAACACTTTTTTGAAGGAAATGAGTGGAAGTGACTTCTCGTTTGATGCAAGTACTGTAGAGTTACTAATAGACGTTTCAGCAAAGGATCCTTCTTTGCTTAATCTGATACCACAATTTCACTCGGGAAGTTAGAAGTGAATATTTATTTCACTTGTTATCAATGTGATGTAATTTCCTTTTACCTTGGCCAAAGAAATCGCATCCAATGGAATGGCAGAAGCTGAAAGTATGCAGTTAGAACATTGCTTAAGCTTTCCAAGCTAGCTTATTAAAGAGGTACACCTGTTCTGATTTTTAATTATTTTGCCACTCTGCTTTTTGTTCTGGATCATATTTATTGTACTCTTAAGATGAGAAATAATGTGAGTTTCCTTATGTGTGCACATTATAAATCTACTAGGATTATCATTTTCAGTGGTATTTAGTTATCTTCAGGTATTATTATTTTCTGACTTTTTGAATATCAATAACAATTTCCTGTAACTTAGAATTTGCTATAGAAACAATATTCTTGATAGTTTCTAAGGTCTTGATTACATCAATCATAATTGTGACAATAGAGCTGACATGGCACCATTGAGAACTCCAGATCAGCTGAGAAGCTAATTTCCGTGTTACGCAGAGAGTGAATTATGGTGCTGGCATTCATCCTGGATTTACGACATCCGGGATTCCATCCACCGATGAAATTGCTGACAGAATCGAGAAGATGCTTGCAGGATACCAATATACTCTGGTTTAACCCTAGTTGTGGCCTCAAGACTCGCAAGTATACTGAAGTTAAGCCGTGCTCTCAGCAGTGGCTGGTGAATTGTTCAATGGTCCTCCTGGAGCATACTGGACTGCAGAGGAAGGACAAGATTATGTTTCACATCTTGCATTAATGACACTGGCAACAGTTTCCTTGCAAAAGGTAAAACACTCATCGTCTAGGTAGTCAACCTGTCTTGTATATCTCTACTGTATCTGGTTTATACTATTTGTTGTTTTGACAAATTGAAATTTTTTCTAAACTGTTTGACGTTTTAGAAAATGAAGAAGCATTTATCACCCTTTCCCCAAATTTATCCTTCCTACTCAAGTGTAGATATTGAAGGAGAAGTCTTTCATGAGGATTGCTGCAAAGTCCAAGAAACAGGCAGAAGAAATGCTGCCAAGGTCGCTTATATAGCTTTTACAAAATGTAAGCTAATAGCTAATACCGTTCTTTGTTTTTTTGGCATTCTTTTGACATCTTTTCCAATTTCAGGCAACGGTTTCCCTCTGACTTGGAAGATGAAATCTCTAAAACTGAACCTTTCATGGAAACTACGGAAACTAAATCTCTAAAACAGTCCACAGGTGCAGAAATGGTACTGCATCTTTTGAGAAGTCACCTTCTTCAGTGGAATCATTGTGCAATCTGCCTAGAGGAACTAAATCATTAGCTGCAATGACACCATCACATATATCTCCCTCTCTCATGTGGAAAATCTAATTAGCTACTCCATACAAGACTATCTTTACATGCTAAGATTGAGCTTATTTTAACATTGCCAAGTCAGTTAATCTTTCTACACTTGTACTAGTGACAAGTCATTGCACAATGTACATAGTTTTGGATAAGAAATCCAATAAACAATAATCATCAGAGTACATACTCTGCTAAATAGCTGCTCAACCGCGCAGTTTATTTCTTATTAATCTATCTCTCTCCCACTTTTATTTCCTTTTGTTTTTAGCAAATGAAGGTGCTGTTATGGCCTTTGGCCAAGAGCTCTAGCAGTACTTATTTACAAGAAATGTCTTGGATGTTGTTATGGCATTAAACTAAACATTCTCAAAATGTTTTGTCACTTCACATAAAACTCAGAGATATTCAAAATATCACAAATGTCATTTTTCATGCACAGTAAGACTCCTAAATAAAGCATAAGGTCATATATTTTACTTGGAAATGTCACAAATGTCACAAAGTGGATCTCTAACTTTGAGCTTGTAAAGATCCAGAGGTGCCTATGTATTGATTAGAGGTTACCAGACCTGTTAACCTTGGCAAAAGTTTCGAATATACATGTGTATATTTGTTGAAAACGATCATATATTTTACTTGGAACCTTTAAGATCAAAAGTCCGATGAGGGCACTGGTTGAGCAGTCCGCTCATGTGCCCCACCACTTTTAATCCTGGGATCTACCTCTAGTTAATCTTTGCTCCACTACACGGTTGACGGCTTGCTCAAATGCAGGTACGCCAACATACTCCAGCAACTGCTTGAACAACTTTTGTGCATTTCATTGATCAGCTGTGGTAATTAACAAATATGAAGTTTACTGTAACTAATCATCAATCTGAAGCAGATATGATGCATTCATAGAATCAAGGTACCAATGTTAAGCAAGCATATAATCATCATTATTTCAGAAAGGATAGAAAGTCATCAAACTCATGCATTCATGGCTTCTGTTGCCATGTCATGAAGCTACAATTACCCCGGAGTCGCATAGTAGAAAGGAGATCCAATATTGCTACAGCAATGCAGTGAAAGGAACTGAAAAAGAAGTTTGTCACTCTTCTTTTATGAGTAGCTCCCAAATACACTTTAGAGAGCATTGGTTCCTTTCCGTATTTTTGCTCCTATAACATACTCCGTTTGNATACTATGTTCATTTCATAGCCATATTGAGAATGTCAAATGTTTAGATGATGCTATGAGTCTCTTCCGTCGAATGGTCAGTACGCAGCCTCTTCCTTCTGTTTATTTTAAGAAGTCCAGAGGTATTTGGAGGAGGCACTCATCAGTATCACGAAAATTAGGGCATACAGAGATAGCAAACAATCAGATGACGAGAATTTCTCTGCTTCCTTACTCTTCCAATGGTATTTTTCCCTTTATCTCTTTTTCTGCTATTTCACCTTCTGCTTCGGCATTTGCAATCAGATATTATTCTTCATTTCACAGCAATATTGAGAATGTCAAGTGTTTCGATGATGCTTTGAGTCTCTTTCGTCGAATGGTCAGTACGCAGCCTCTTCCTTCTGTTTTTACCTTCTCCAAATTATTAAAGACTATGGTAAATATGAAGCATTACTCTTCTGTTGTTTCCCTTTTTTGACAAATGCTGAAATCGGGTATCCCAATTGATGGTTCCATCTTGAATATCGCGATCAACAATTATTGCTTAATGCATCGTTCTGACTGCGGATTTTCAGTGTTAGCCATTTACGTGAAGAAGGGCATTCCATTTGATGTTGTCACCTTTAGCACCTTACTAAGGGGACTCTTTGCAAAAAGTAAGATAAAAGATGCGGTTAACTTGTTCAAAAAGTTGGTGAGAGAGAATATTTGTGAGCCTGATGAAGTCATGTATTCAGTTGTCATGAATGGTCTTAGCAAAAGAGGTCATACTCAAAACACTTTTGATTTGCTTAGGGTAATGGAACAAGGAAACGCTAAGCCCGATGCATACATCTATAACATTGTTATAGATGCCCTTTGCAAAGATAGGATGTTAGATGCTGCAATTAGCCTTTTTGAAGAGATGAAACAAAAAGGCATTCCTCTAAACGTTGTCACATATAATTCATTGATTGATGGTTGTTGTAAGCTTGGTCAGTGGGAAGAGGTTAGGACTTTGTTCTTCGAAATGGTAAATCTTAATATTTATCCAGATGTCTGCACCTTGACCATAGTAGCAGATGGACTTTGCAAAGAAGGGAAAGTTGAAGATGCCGAAGAGGTAATGCGACACTTGATTGGTAAAGGTGTAGAGCCAGATGTGGTAACCTACAATGTGATAATTGATGGATATTGCTTGCGCGGTCAAATGGATAAAGCAAGGAGACTTTTCGATTCCATGATAGATAAGAGCATTAAGCCTGACATTGTTAGCTATAACACGTTAATAAATGGATACGGTAAGAAAAAGAAATTGGATGAGGCCATGCATTTGTTTCATGAAATTTCTCGAAATGGATTGAAACCTAGCATTGTTACATACAGTACTATCTTGAAAGGTCTATTTGATGCTGGAAGAACCAACTTTGCCGAAAAATTCTTTGCTGAAATGCTATCTACGGGGCTCAAACCTAATTTATGCACTAATTGCATTTTGCTCGACGGTTATTTTCACAACGGGCTTGTTGAGAAAGCAATGTTGCTATTTTATGAGTTGGAAAGAAAGAGAGAAGATATCTATATTGAACTTTACACTGTTATTGACGGATTGTGCAAAAATAGTCAGCTCGACAAAGCTCGTACTATTTTTGAGAAGCTTTCTTTGATTGGATTGTTTCCCAATGTGATTACATACACTACAATAATAAATGGACTATGTCTAGAAGGGTTGTTAGATGAAGCTAAAGATATGCTAAGAAAAATGGAGCACAATGGTTGTTCGCCAAACAACTGCACTTACAATGTTATTGTGCAAGGATTTCTCAAATGTGGCAAAATTAGTGAAATGAACACTTTTTTGAAGGAAATGAGTGGAAGTGACTTCTCGTTTGATGCAAGTACTGTAGAGTTACTAATAGACGTTTCAGCAAAGGATCCTTCTTTGCTTAATCTGATACCACAATTTCACTCGGGAAGTTAGAAGTGAATATTTATTTCACTTGTTATCAATGTGATGTAATTTCCTTTTACCTTGGCCAAAGAAATCGCATCCAATGGAATGGCAGAAGCTGAAAGTATGCAGTTAGAACATTGCTTAAGCTTTCCAAGCTAGCTTATTAAAGAGGTACACCTGTTCTGATTTTTAATTATTTTGCCACTCTGCTTTTTGTTCTGGATCATATTTATTGTACTCTTAAGATGAGAAATAATGTGAGTTTCCTTATGTGTGCACATTATAAATCTACTAGGATTATCATTTTCAGTGGTATTTAGTTATCTTCAGGTATTATTATTTTCTGACTTTTTGAATATCAATAACAATTTCCTGTAACTTAGAATTTGCTATAGAAACAATATTCTTGATAGTTTCTAAGGTCTTGATTACATCAATCATAATTGTGACAATAGAGCTGACATGGCACCATTGAGAACTCCAGATCAGCTGAGAAGCTAATTTCCGTGTTACGCAGAGAGTGAATTATGGTGCTGGCATTCATCCTGGATTTACGACATCCGGGATTCCATCCACCGATGAAATTGCTGACAGAATCGAGAAGATGCTTGCAGGATACCAATATACTCTGGTTTAACCCTAGTTGTGGCCTCAAGACTCGCAAGTATACTGAAGTTAAGCCGTGCTCTCAGCAGTGGCTGGTGAATTGTTCAATGGTCCTCCTGGAGCATACTGGACTGCAGAGGAAGGACAAGATTATGTTTCACATCTTGCATTAATGACACTGGCAACAGTTTCCTTGCAAAAGGTAAAACACTCATCGTCTAGGTAGTCAACCTGTCTTGTATATCTCTACTGTATCTGGTTTATACTATTTGTTGTTTTGACAAATTGAAATTTTTTCTAAACTGTTTGACGTTTTAGAAAATGAAGAAGCATTTATCACCCTTTTCCCAAATTTATCCTTCCTACTCAAGTGTAGATATTGAAGGAGAAGTCTTTCATGAAGATTGCTGCAAAGTCCAAGAAACAGGCAGAAGAAATGCTGCCAAGGTCGCTTATATAGCTTTTACAAAATGTAAGCTAATAGCTAATACCGTTCTTTGTTTTTTTGGCATTCTTTTGACATCTTTTCCAATTTCAGGCAACGGTTTCCCTCTGACTTGGAAGATGAAATCTCTAAAACTGAACCTTTCATGGAAACTACGGAAACTAAATCTCTAAAACAGTCCACAGGTGCAGAAATGGTACTGCATCTTTTNTCCACAATGTAGCCATAGGGGGCTTGAGAGTCTTGTTTAGGGGGAGAACTTTACGGGACAAGTGTTAGTGTGTCACTTGTGTTTGCCTCTTCGTGAGGTTGTTCTCTCGATATTTTGTACTCTCTTTTATTATAGTGGATTGCTCATCTCCGTTGTGGACGTAGGTCAGTTGACCGAACCACGTTAAATGTTTGTGTCTCTTTTGGTAGATTTCTCTTTGTTGTGTGATTTATCGTCGTTCAACGTTTGCTTTGCTAGATTACGCATGACACCTGATTTTTTCGGTCCTAACAAATCTTACACTTCTGGGTCCATAGAATTTTGGGTCCACAAAACTGTGAGACAAAAAATTGCCTCATACAACTAGTGTAAGTTGTATGAGAAGCAAAATAAAATTTTCCATATATTTAGGACTAAGATTTCAGAAATCATTATTTATTTCTTAAATTTCATATCTAATCAAACTAAGTTCATCATATAAATTAAAACGGATAGAAAATTTCCTTCCCTTGTTGAATATTGAACGGCCGGATTCAGAGTACTGAGAGCAGAGCATTTACCTTTTACCTTTAATATGAATTCTAAAAGCAAATCTGCAAAGATATACAGGCACCGCAATAATTAACTCCTGCATTTACTGTTACCATGCATGAAACTTTGCAGTAAATATTGGGAATAGAGATCTTTCTCTGTTTAATCTGCATAATATGATCTTTCCTTCCTTTTTTATAGCTGTGCATGCTATGATGGGAGTACAATAATTCAATAAGACAGAAGAGATTTAAGCAAAAAAGTTCCACTTGGCCAGAAGAATTTGTATGTAACAGATAAATGGCTTTATGTTTTAATTACTCCTTCGGCTTCACAATAAGTGTCCAATTTGCTTTTTCATTTTG